GTTTGATTTAAGATTTTTTTTTTTTTTTTTTTTTTTTTTTTTTTTTTTAATTTCAGTTTCAGTTTTTTGGTTCGGATCCGTAAAGAGTTGTATTAGATGGGTAGTAGGTAGAAGTCTCTTGATTCCATAAATGGTCGGGTTAGGTTCTTGATAGTTCATAAATGGAAGTCTAGCCATTTTGACCATTTTACCCCTCTAGATATACTATAAAAAGGTGATAGTTGGATTTAATTTAAAATAATGGTTGTAGCCCTAAACAATATTGTTATATCATTTTGTGAAACCCTCGATGAGTCGATGTTTGATAAACTTTTAAGTTAAGGGATGTTTGATAGAGACTGTATGATTATGATCTTGATCTGAATCAAACAGACTCTTAATGAATCTGTCAATAAGACGTATTGTCTGGTTAGATTATGAATGAATCCATGTAGTAAGATTTTCTTAATTTTGATGACGGTCATTGAACCACTAAACTTGCATTGATTTACTTAGACTACATCTGTGTTCGAACATAACATCGAATTAAACCACCATCTTTTCATAGAGTTTTCTTGCTCCATATTTGTATGAAAATACAATAGATGAATCTCATGGAATAATAGATGATGCTATTATCTTCTAAGGCTCGAAACAAATGATAATGTCGGTGGTTACGACGAAATCGAAGTTGAAGATGATGGTAGCAATAACTCTAAATTTGAACATATACCAACCTTGCTATTTATACTATCACATCTATGTATGTAGAGCTTCTCATGTTTTACCAATGTAATCAACACTACTAATTAACCTACAAAATGTTCATTTTGCTCATTTTCAATAGGCACCCAAAGTATCCGAAAAGAGCTTCAAGGTCATATACCCTTATTCGACACCTATGTGCTCTATTTTCCAATCATCCTAGAACATTAAAATATAATTTGTGTACTATAAGCTTACTGTTACTAAGTCCAGTGGCGGACTTTAGTGGGGCATTTGGGGTCCCGGGCCACTGCTCAATTTTCGACACGCAGTGTAGATTTTTTTTTTTTTTGGTTTTTTCTATTAGGTGCACCCGCTTGAAGTACGAGGGACACCTCTACTAAAACAGTCTGCGTCCGCTACTGACTAAGTCGATAAGTTGGTGCATAGAAATTCATATATAATTAACATAATGCACCACAAATTTACAAATATAACAAGATATTCCTCCATAAGGTCATTGTATACAGTTCAAGTATAAACCTCTTATACATGATATGTATAAGATAACCTTTTGCAAACATTTCAGTTTCTAAAAGTAAAAACGTAAATGTCAAATGCCCAGAACAGCATCAACGTCAATAAATTAAGATGATAGGGAAACTCGACAAATTGGTCAAAAAGAGTTGAAAGAAAATGATATAGTGAAATGTCTTTTAATAAAGTAAAATCAATTCAAATTTAGATTCAAGAAAATGTGAATTAAAATGCATAGATGAAAAGCTAAAAGCAAACATGAAAGAATAAAAAAAATATACATTTTAAATGAAAATAGAAGGCTATAGGTTGCCGTTGCGGAGCAATGAAGAGTATTTTAAAAGTGCATTTCTATCTCGGTCGATTAGACCAAGTCCAATGGACCTGTATATCAGCAAAATAGAGGCCAAACCTCCTCCAATCGTACGCAAAATCCAACACAAAAATGGTGATTGCTACAGTAACCCACTAAAAATAGCGGCCTCCTGTTCATCCTCCGCTATCTACAAAAATTAGTATAATATTACTTATTTTGTTTTTTGCTTTATATTATATATTATTTGGATAAGAGATTCAAAAGTTTAGTGCAGCTCTACTACACAAAGGAACTGTTAAAATATTGAATTTAAGTTTTTTGATGTGGTGTTTTTAGTGTCTGGTTGTTGGCAAAATTTTATATGGTGTTAAAAACCTATAATTTTAGTGTTTTTTTAGTATCATGGTTAGAGATTGCCATAGGATCATAGGGAATAAAATTTTATATGGTGTTAAAAATCTATAATTTTAGTGTTTTTTTAGTGTCATGGTTAGAGATGGCCATAGGGTCATAGGGAGTACATGGTCTAGACCAAGAGTACTTGGATTTTGTAAATTTAAAAAATAATTAATTTTGAGAAAATTATATATATAACAAATATAGTAAGTTCAATAAATTTTATAACAAAATACATAAATATAAAAAATAATTATAGATTTTATTTAAAAACAAGTCAAACTTGCCGAGTTTTACTGAGTTTTTTGAATTGTACCAATTTTTTTCCAAGACTGATTTTGAGAAAAATAGCTTTCCAAGTACTAGCCAAGTAGATCGAGTTTTACACTACTATAATGGAAGTGGTCAAATTTTTATCGCTTTAGCAAAATAACCATAACCTTACCATTTTGTAGGGCAATTTAGTGAAAATTTATTAAGAAAAACATCAAGAGATAATATATTTTTCGATTTGTACACATTTGGTCACTGAGTTTTTTTTTCGTCCACATTTACCTCTTCAACTTGTTAAACTGTATACATTCAGTCCTTATGACCGGCTACTCCAGGTTACCCGGTAAAAATGACTTAATATGGTAATATATTTCTCACTTTGTACACATTTAGTCCTTAATATTTTTGTACACATTTAGTCCTTAATATTTTGTACACATTTAGTCCTTTTTTTTTTTTTGCAAAATAAGTCATTTTTTTGTACTTATTCAGTACTTATGAATGATTTTTTAGTTTTTTCTCACGAAATCTTACGTGAGACATTAATTAATGAGGTGTATAAGGCTTTTGATGCTTATATCCATCACGATCTCGACTACTTGGTTGCTTAGGTTATGTGTTCTGAACGTCATAACTTCTTCATATGATCTTGGATTTTAACGATTTTTATATCCATGCGTTCGTATTTTAGTCTACTACAACTTTCATTTAGATTACTCCCATTAAAAAATAATATATTTTTACTTACGATTTTTATATCCATACGCGGTGGCGGGTTTAGTATGGTCCCGGTGTTGCACCGACAACACTTGTTTTTTCTGTTCGAAGTGGAAAATTTTTCGCTTTTTTTTTTCGTTTATACCTATTTTCCATGTATCGGCAATACCTATTTCATCTCGGCAATACCTACTATGTATTACTGCATCTTCCCCTGTCCATACGTTTTTTATGAATGCATGTATGTCTGTTTTTTTTTATAAAATCGTTAGTAAAAATATATTACATTTGAACGGGAGTAATCTTAATGAAAGTTGTAGTAGACTCAAAAAATGAACATGTGGATAAAGATCCTTAAAATATGATATTGTATGAAGGAGTTACGATGTTCAAAATACAAAACCTAAGCCAAACCACAAGACTTACGCAACCAAGCAGTCGAGATCGCATTGGACATAAGCATCAACAACTCCAAGCACCTCATCAATGATTGTCTCACATAAGATGTCGTAAAAAAACCTAAATAAATCATTCATAAGTACTGAATGAGTAAAAAAAAAACTTATTTTGAAACAAAAAAAATGTTAAGGACTAAATGTGTACAAAATGAAAAATATATTACCCTATCAAGTCATTTTTCCCGGCTAACCTGAACTAACAGGTCATAAGGACTGAATGTGTACAGTTTAACAAGTTTAAGGAGTAAATGTTGACGAAAAAAAACTCAGTGACCAAATGTGTACAGATCGAATAATATGTTACCCTTTTAAGTAATTATCCCAAACATCAATCATTAACTTGTTTTAGAACACAATTACAACAAAAAAAAAAATACTGTGCTAAACTTGAAACTTGTGAAAGGACAGAAAAAATACGTACTCAATGACAACGATGAGTCTAGATCCTCCAAACAGAAAACGTTAAACTTGAAACAATGTTCATAATTAATTATACGAAAAATCGTTAGGCCTGCCACGAAGGTCTCGGAAATAGCCTCTAGGGTTACGTTCAAAAGCAGCCCTAGGCAACCTCGTCGGACGTCTCCCGGGTGCGTTCATTCTCCCAGCCGACCGTCTTCTTCCGCACAAGCAGCGGCAGCAGCACACGCCGATGATCCAGAAGATGGCGGCAACTATGAGATAAGGTGCGGCCGCATACAGCCAGTCGTAGATTTGCTTAGCGTCTTTGTCCGTCACAGATTTCGGTTTCACGGCGGAGACAAGTTGAGTGAAGATGTTACCGACGTTGTTGTTCGATTTCTCCGGTATATTGTCGGCCATAGATATTAATGGTTTGCCCTCACAACCACCTATCACCACTGGCAACTTTATATGTGAACTTGAGCGTAATTACCAAAATAGTCCCTTGGTTATTAGTCGAATGTCATTTTCAGCATACTACTATATTATCAAAGCATGATTTTTTTTTCTTTTGCAAAACTTCAATTTACATAAAAGTCCCGATAGAATAACAAAGTTTATTTTAGGCTGACAAATCAGACAGTTGTTTCGTGTTTTTTGCGTAACATAACATAACATGAATTATTTTTTCTTAACCTAAATACGACATGGCATGACACTAACACAACATAACATGAATTATTTTTTCTTAACCTAAATACGACATGGCATGACACGACGACGTAGATTTATTCGTTAACACGAACATGACTCGATAAAAAGACAAAAAACACAATAATACGATAAAAATTACCATTTGCATAATGCAATATGTAAGTTTTTTAAAAAAATGATAATTTAAACATGACAAAAACGAGTAACATGATAAAAAATAACATAATACTACTAAATATACATGATAAGAACACAACGTTTTTTGCTATTATTGTGTTGAGTTTTAAACACGAACATGACATAACACAACGACGTGTTTCTTATACATGACATGAATAGGACACGAACAGGAATTTGAAATTTGATTCGTACTAGTTTTTTTTTTTTTTCGTGTAATGTATTTTTATCGTGTCGTGTCGACTTTTACCATCCATAGTTTATATAAGACAAAATTGCAAAAATGGTCCCTGTGGTATGCATTTTTTGGGGGTTTTAGTCCAAACCTCAACTTTTTTGGCTTCGTGGTCCTTTTGACCATGTTTGTTTGTGATTTTGGTCCCTCGAAAAACTGAAAAGACTAAAATGCCCTTTCTGATATACTTTTTATGTTTTTCCATTTTGATTTTAAAGGAAAAAGAAAATAATTAATTAATTTGGACCAACTTTTCTCTCTCTCTCTCTGTAAGTCCCCAATCTTCTTGAGTATCAATCAGATCCGTTTGATGGTGCGGAATCCCGATCAAACGGATGATGTCAGATCAAAATAGAAGAGAAAGAGAAGAAGAATAACTTGAATCTTGAATGTTTTGAAGATATGAATGATGCTCCTTACACAAGATTCTCACACACACACTATTCTTCTCTCTAGTTTCTCTATCTACAATATGCTCTCCTTTTTCTCTAGCCTCTTACTCTCACACACTCCTCACCCTATTTATATGAGATATGGGCCATACACGGGTGTACGGCCGTACACACAAACTGCAAACACATACAACATTACAGAAAAATACATTTTCTTAGAAAAGCAAAGTATAAACCAAATATTAGACCCAACAATCTCCCCATTGGTTTATAGCTTTCTTTTCTAATTGACCCAACAAGCCCCCCCTAAAAAGGTAGCTGGCCTTTCTTGTCAATCTTCAATGGGAGCTTGGCTTCAGCTTTAATCTTCAATTTCTTCACGACTTCAAGATGAACATATGAATCTTCAATAAATGACTTCATCTTGAGCAGTTGGGCTTTTCTTCAAAATTTGACTCTCTGAACGCACATTGGGTGAGGAGGCTTCTTGATAAGATTCTTGAAAGATGGCGCTTTCAGCTTGAGAATCTTCAGAGAGAACAATAGAGAGAACTAATCTTCTGGATCACTTCAGCATGTTCAAGAGTAGCATCAAATTGATTGAGGAGACTTCAATGCAATCTGTCACATAATCTTCAAGTGTAGCTTGACCTTGCTTCTGGGGTTTGAAGGATTGAATGTTGGAAGAATAATCTTCATTTCTTGTTCATTCGAATGAGAATTCTTCGATGATCACGAATGAAGCTTCGGCTCAGAAATTTTCGATACAGTCTCCATGAGTCTCGTCTACATCTGAATTCACTTTTCAAGACAAAACAAAACTAAAAGAAAACTTAGCACACAATATTTTTGGATTTTCTATATTTTCTGAAAAAATAAAACAGAAACAAAAATATTTTTGGATTTTTGACTTTCTAAAAAAAATAGAAGTAACACTATTTTTGGATTTTTTTTTTAATTTTTCTGATTTTTGTTTGATTTTTGAATTTTTTTTAATTATCCCCCTAAATTTGTGCATAGAGGAAAACTATGAACAAATTTAACAAAAACAAAACAAAAAAATATATTTGGGATCAAAGTTGTCAAGCAATCCAATATCGTTTATCAGCACACGCCTGCATGTCTAGATCTGG